CTCCCTGTATCTTCAGTGCTAATTCTTCCCTCTGTACCTTTCTTTGTTCATACCGTTCTTCTGTAGAGCCTCCGCTGGTTTCTGCCTCCTTGGGTATGCACGTCCATTAGGATTCAGTTCAATGGACACTTTCTCCCTGAAACTCCCCTAATTGCCCTCAATCCATACCTTCTGATTTGGTTCTGATAATTCTTCTTTGAGCCTCCATTAATACCCTTTACTTATTGTTCTCACTACACTTACTGCATTTGATTATAATCTTCTGTTTGTGTCTGTTTCCACCATATACTAAGTTCCCTATGGGCAAGAAGTGGTTTTCAAATTTATCTTTTTATCACAGTGCCTGGCACATACAGGACATCCAGTAAATTGCTGAATGAATGACTTCTAACTTAATAACATTTGTAGCAGTACCATCTGAAGACTTGTAGAGTCCAGACTCCACATTTAATATAAAACTGATCCTTCTTGATATAAATCAAAGATCCCTTTTCTGCTCCTGATGACTAACTTGTTTCTGATAGGAACTATCACTCTCCCAGTCATCTGGGCTAGAAAGTTTTGTTAACCTTGACAAGTTCCTTGCCCTCATATGGATAAATTGCTTTTAAAATATCATTAACTCGAATTCTAAGATACTGGTTACTTTTAATCCATTGAGGTAATTTTGCATGTGTTTATTTATATGCATATATATATGTATTAGCTACTGTTGACATTGCAACAATATTCAAGAACATTTTGGAATAATCACCTGTCATCCTCTACTGTAACACAGTTTTGCTTATTTCCTTTTATAAGCATAGTCGCATAGCTGCAATCCCAATGAACATAACCATTTTGGATCCTTCTGCACCATTTTCCCCATATGTTTTTAAATGAATGCTTGGAATGACGCCTCTTTTGGCTTCCTTGAGGGCACCACACTGCCCTGCAGGTTCCATATCATTAATATTTTCAGAGGCTGGCCGTGCATCTTTGAAGGCTGGCTTCTATAGGTAGATCCCCCGGTGCTTTTATGCCCTACTTAGCTTTGCTGTAGGGTTGGTTTCCTTGGGGCACCACTGAGGACTTCGTGTACCTTATCTTCTTCCCCCACTCCACCTTTTGTTTTGGATAATTTCGAACCTACAGAAAAGTTGAAAGAACAGGAGAATGAACCACTTGTGTATACTTTACCTAGATTCACCAATGGTTAACATTTTGCCACACTTGCCTGATCTTGCTCATGTTCTTGTGGGGATGTGCTCCCTCCATTTACTCATATGTCCACATTTTGTTTTCCTCAGCCATTGGAAAATAAATTGCAGATATCATGACACTTCACCTCTAAATACATCAGTATGTATTTCCTAGGGATAAGGATGTTTTCTTAAAAAGCCACATGATTATGACTTTCAGGAAATTGAACATCAGTACAATATTACCAAATAATTAGTTAATATTCACCTGTCTCCACTTGTCCAGTATTATCCTTAAAGTTTTTTTTTTCTTTTCTTAGGTCTAGGATCCAATCAAGGCTCACACATTGCATTTAGTTTTCAGTCTCTCTGGTGTCCTTTCATCTAGCAGAGTACTTCCCAACTTTTCTCTTTCTCTTGCATAACATTTATATATTTGAAGAGCCCAAGCCAGTTGTTTTGTTAAATGTCCAATAATTTAGATTTGTCTGATTGTTCATTATTATCATATTCAAGTTAAACATATTTAGCAAGAATACAACATAAATAATGGATCTTAGTGCATCTCCTCAGGAGGTTACTGTCTTTTTTGGACATTGAGAGACCCTTAAAGATGGCTCCTGTGTCCTTTTGACACTCCAGTAGTCTCTTACAGCTTCCTCGCTCTGTGGTAAAACAAAATGTTCTGCGTTACTTTGGTGTATTTCATGCCCACACGCAGGATCAGCTATTTCTCCAAAAAGTCCTGTTTCCTTATACTAGGAAACGATGTTCAAGATCATAGTCTAGGCTTCAGGGGTGCCTATTGCTACTGGATTGGTCATTGTTTCTAGCCCTCTTCAGTGGACAGAATTAGGAATTTTTTTAATCAAAAAATATACTTCTATAATTCAAATATAAGATTCAAGGTTTGTACATACTTAATTTTATATTTTTATATCTTTATGATGAAAATACTGGTTTCTAATTCATATGAATATACAGTCAGCCCTCTGTATCTGCGGGTTCCCATTGCATCTGCAACATTAGGTTGTATCTGATGTGGAACCCATGGATGAGAGGGCTGACTAAGGGACTTGAACATCCGTGGATTTTGGTATGTGCAGAGGGTCTTGGAGGATGACTGTAATTTCCTACTCTCTCTATATAAATTTCAAAATAATATCTATATTATTACTAAAATATGGTAACTTAAAATAATCACAAAGAAATGTTAAGCTATTTTATCTTGATAATATATCCCAGAGTCAAATTACTGTGCTTAAAGTTCATCTCAACTCCGTTCACTTCCATTTTCACAAGTAACCATTTTTATTAGTTTTTGAATTATCTATTGATTTTTAAAATATAAGCAAATTCAAATAAACTCATGCCCCCCCTTTTCGATAAAAGGTAACATACTATACACTATTCTGCACTTAGCTTTTTTCACTTAACAGTATATCCTAGAAATCACTACATAGCACTACAGAGAGATCTTTCTTGTTCTCTTTTACGGCTGCATACTACTCCATTGTGTAACTATGTTAGACATTTAGATTGTTTAGTCTTTTGCAATTACTATATGATAATCTTTACAATAAAAAAATATGTGGGGCCGGCCCGGTGGTGCAAGCGGTTAAGTGCGCGTGCTCCGCTGTGGCGGCCCGGGGTTCGCCAGTTTGGATCCCGGGCGCGCACCGATGCACCACTTGTCAAGCCATGCCGTGGCGGTGTCCCATATAAAGTGGAGGAAGATGGGCATGGATGGTAGCCCAGGGCCAGTCTTCCTCAGCAGAAAAAGAGGAGGACTGGCAGATCTTAGCTTAGGGCTGATCTTCCTCAAAAAAAAAAAATAAATAAATAAATAAATATATATATATATATATATATATATATGTAACGTAAGAATATAGCCCCAAGGAATTGAAAACAGGACTCAAACAGGTACTTGTATGCCATTGTTCACAGTAGCATTATTTACAATAGTCAAAAGGTGGAAACAACTCAAATGTCCATACAGGTGAATGGATAAACAAAATGTAGTACATACATACAATGGAATATTATTTGGCCATACAAAAGGACTGTGTGTGTATATATATATATATATATTACAACATGGCTAAACCTTAGAAGACATCAGGCTAAGTGAAATAAGCCAGACACAAAAGGGCAAATGTTGGATTCCACATGTAAGAATGAGTCTAGGATAGGCAAATTCATAGATACAAAGTAGATTAGAGGTTTTCAAAGACTAGGGGGAGGCGGAGAATGGAAAGTTATTGCTTAAATGGGTAGAGAGTATCTGTTTGGGTGATGAAAATTTCTGGAACTAGTGGTGATCGTTGAACAATACTGTGAATATAATTAATGCCACTGAATTGTATACTTAAAAATGGTTAAAATGTAAATTATATGTGATATATATTTACCACAATAAAGAAAATAGTCATATGTACATGTATATGTATATGTAATTAGCAGTAAATCTCTTTAAAACATTAGGGCCAATGATGAAGTAGAAATCTGGAGAGACCGTTCAACGCAGAGTTCCTGGAGCAGTTAGAAAGAATTCCAGAGAGCTGATTTTGGCCTGAAATGGGTCTCTAAGCTTAAACATTAAAAGAGTGCTTGAAACATCTATTATCTTTTAATCCTGATGTAACATGATAAACATTTTAAATCTGAATGTAACAATTACTCTTCCATATCTTTTCTTAACACTGTTATATTTTCCTGTATTTTACTAGTCAGCAAAACTATGAAGTTAACATAGCTAATCATCTTTTGGTTATCTGTTTTCATTTTACAAAGGAAAGAAAAGGCTCAGAGAAGATGCCTTTCCCAAGGTCACACAGCTAAAAAGGACATAGGAGCTCTCTTGTGTCCCAGGGCAGTTCTTACTGAATCATAATTCATTAATTATATAATTATTTAATGAGCATCGACTGTGTGCTAGGCACTTGAGATATACAATGGAGACAACAAATTCCATGTCCTTTCTCAAAGAGTTCATAGTAATAAAGGAGAAAGCCCCACAATTATCATGTAGTACTACGAGGTGGGGTAAAGTACAAAGGACGATGGGAACACTTTGGAGGGGCTGTTTGAAACAATATATATAATATACAGAAACATCTGATATCTCATTCAGCTTACACTTTAACTGTGTAAAACTAAATTTTCATGTTCTTTGAAAACCTGCTAATTTTTAAAGACCTCAGCCTTTCACAGCCTCAAACCAGCCACTTAACAGCTGTTTTTTGCACACTGTGGGTTGACACTTATTCAGCTCTGGAAAGGACTTGTTTTCTCCAGCTGTGGAAACAGATCTACCATTTCTCCTTCATGGGCCTACTGAAGTCTAACACATAACAAAGTTCCTGATGCTTGCTTAGTAGATGCAAGGCTCCCAAATCAAGCCCCCCTATTGAATTGAAGCAGTTCTGCTTCTTACTGCATTACTTAACCTACATGTGGATTTCCTGGTATTTCTGTGGCTTGGGTACTGGTACTGTTACTTTAGTTTTTTATTATCCTTTACTAACTGAACATGAATATATTCTCCAAAAAAGGTAAACTTTTAATTTTTGCTCTAAAACATGGTATCTCAACTTGTATATCTAGAACTTTTATGAGAAGCATGAATAATCCTCTGTAGTGTTTTTTTAAGGGTGATGTTGAAAGATAAACATGGTGACACATAGATCTTTGACTTTATACTTAGATATGTTTGCAATATTTTGTGAAGTATGGAAGTTTTTAATGGTTTTAAGATCTTATTGGTATCATTCTTGAAGAGCAATTAAATATTTATTATTTTATTCTAATTTTCAGGGAAAGAAGATACTCCTTCATTACTTGGTCTCTGTGGGTCTCTAACATCAGTGGCAAGTTACAAATCTCTAACAAGTCTAAAATCTAATGACTACCTTGCAAGTCCTACAACAGAGATGACAAGTCCAGGCCTAACTCCATCCTGAAAATTTTATGTAAAGGCCAAATGTTTTTATGTTGCAAATGTTCTATTTACATAAGTTTGACTGCTGGGAAAACCTTTGGAATTTTATATTGTTCTGGCACATGTCTAGAATTCTGTTGCCTATATTAGCGAATTCAATCTACTCCACATGAAATTATGAGTTAAAAAATGATCCTGCCATTTTTCATTGTAAAATTCTTATATTTGTCACTGAGGAAGTTTAAAAACGAATAGGCTTAAAAAGCTTTCAAACATACTCTAAATTAATAAGCCATTGCAATTTATACATATTATTCAGCTTATTTTCATATATTTAAATGTATCATAATTGCCAGAGACTGAATTCAACGTTTTATTCCAGAGACATAAGTATTTTCTTTCTCTCTTTTATTCAGTGATTAAATTTTCTAAAAATGACTTATTAATTTTAATTTCTTCCTAAGTTCTAATGTTTAAATGTCTTGTTTTTAATATGAGAAGGTTCTTAGCTGCAGTTTCACGGTGGCTTATTCTGTTTTTCTTTAACAGTTATCATTTGGTATCAACATTTCACTTAACATTTTATAAATTTTGTAGGAATGTGCCTTTAGGCAGTTACTAAATTTGTTAGGGTCATAGGGAAAGTATTTTACAGTATTTTAGGCCATTTAAGTAAAATGAATAAATTTATCTTTTTTCCCCCCAAGATTTTCTTAAAAGGTTATCAATTTAAAAATATCACATATGCCTCAAAAGTTGGGATCATTTTAAAAAGTAGAACAGATGTTGAAAAAGTATTTTATCAGGAAAGATTTCAAGTTCAATTAAAGATTTGAGAAGCTTTTAAATAAGGATCAGTAGGGTAATCACCATACTTAACAATATGTCTTGACATGCAGTGCTGTTTTTCTCTCCCTTGCGTGCAACAATGAATTGTCATGTACGTTTTACAGTTTCTATCATTAATCATGCCATAATCTCATTTAAAATTGATGTTAAAAATCCCTACACTTCTACAGGTAAAATTAGTTTTCTTTTTAAAAAAAGCTATGAGCTATATACATTTCTTCCCTAAAAATTCCAAATATTGAAGGAGAAAATATATGAAGTATATTTTCTAGAGTAAGCAATATGAGGAAAACATGCTCAGTTGTGCCAAAGAAGTTTTATATATTGTTTACATGAAGAGGCTGCAATACTTACTGGGGACTTCATATGCTATTTTTGTTCTATTACATTCAAACTTAGCTTTCACATATAGGAAGACTGTTACTCCTAAACTAATTTATTTTATTGCGAGGAGGCAAGAAACACTGAACTGAACTTACCACATTCATTCTTTGTATTAGAAATGTAGGAGTGTGCTGGTTCTCTGCAATATTTAGAGCTTTACTCTTATAATTTGGAATTTAAGATTATAAATAGTAACAAGGCTAGTCTTATATGTAAGACAGTTCAGAACAATATCATTTCAGGGACAAAGAGGGCCTAGAGGCCCTTAAAATAAGTTATCTCAGATGTACCCGAACATACTCAGAGCATTATCCTTTAGCTTAAGGCTTTAGTACTTGTAGAAATGCAAATATTCTTGAGAAATGGTACCTCTAATCTACTCTTAATTCTGTATACCTTATTGTGAGGTATCCAAAGCAATTTTTAATTAGCACGAGGAATGGAAGGAAGGTATAACATGAGGACAATGGAAACCTTGGGAGGAGGGAGTGAGATATGATTAAGGAGGGGAACTGCAAAAATTTTAGGCTGGCCTTAAGCACTATTGCTGCTTTCCTAAGAACTATCAGAATGTTTAAGTGCTTTATCATTCATGGTCCACACTCATGTATTATCCTTCCGTAGTTTTAAAAAAATCATTGTTAAATTTTTTGCACACATTTTTATAATACAGAAAGGAAATTCAAGATTCTGTAACTGATAAATTTTTTCAGATTTGTCTGATGTATACAGTAACTTGTGCATCTTAACATGCTGCTAAGTGCAGATTTAAATATGACATCTGAGGATCATGACTTTTCCTCCTTTCTTGGAGTTCTTGGTATAAAATTCTGCTAATGTGAATTCAGGTTTCTACACAGTTCATCTCACACTAGTTATAGAGGTAAATGTTTGCATGAGGAAACAATGTATGTCTCAATCTTTAATTTTAGGTGGTAGTGTTCACACACACTCTCCAAAGTAGAATGCTGAATGACATGCTAATATTTCCATGTGTGTTTTGTTGCCTTGATGTACTATACTTGTTGCATGCATATTAAACATTTTGTATCATGCATTAGTGGTCTTATTTTTTCCTTGACGAAGTTACTTGATTCAAGTTGTACACTGAACTGTTGTTTCAACAAATGTGATAAATGTATATTACTTAACACCTAACATAGTAATATGAAAATGGTTTTGAAGAAATCCTTATTTCAACGCATATGAAATTAAATACTTTTTATTTAAAAAAAACATGGTATGTTTTATAATGCACGACATCTGTTGAAGTGGTACAAGTACAGTAGTGGTTCTGGCAGTATTGCTGATTTAATTATATGATAGCTATGTTTGTTTTCTCACCTGTAAAATGGAAACATCACCATCGTCTCAGCACTTCTGTGATGGGATCAGGATGATATCAGCATTAAATCATACATATAAAAGTAAGTTCGTAAAAGGTAAATGCTAACACAAGCTGCTATTAATTGTGATTGACAGAAGCCTTAAAAAGCCTTAAAAATGCAAATAAATCAGTTTTTATCTTTAAAAGGTTTACATGCAAGTTTTCAAGTGGTTAAAAATGTCTGAAATTTATAACTTCTGGAAATGCTTTGTTAAAGTTCCTATCATTAAGTAAAATCTCCAGTTTTGATAAATACACTGGCTTACCTCTGAAATGTCACGACTGCTTTGAACATCAGAGCTCTTAAATTTATTTTTTAATTAGTTCACTCTGCTCTTCTGTAAGCAAAGCAGCTTCTATTTATCTTTAGCATTTGTTCTTTTTAACTGGTAGGAAGGGGAAGATAAAATTATATCAATGTCATTATGCTAACTTTTAAAAGTATATTTTAGTCCAAACCAAAACTTTTAGATTGTTTGTTTTTAAATAGGTTATCTTCTTATTATCAGTCCTGTTTTCCATACTGCCAATTATTTTTCTAAAACCCAACAACTAAAACCAAAGTTTTACTACACAACACTTGGCACCAATTACATGTAACACATTCTGGTGTTTTCTGTTCTATGATGTGCTAAACTATGCTATCCTATTTTCTTTTAGCAAAAAAAAAAAAATGCTGGTCTTGAAAAATAAAAACTCCAACTCTCAAATTAATTATTAGAGCTGTGCCAAAAATGCTTCCTTGGTTTCGTGTTGCCTTCTTGTTCCTCCTTTGGCACACAGGCCTCTGACTACATTTCCAATCTGATCTCCTATCACATTGCTATGTATACCTTCTGCTCAAGCCACTGGGACTAAATTCCATTGCCTGATTGAGACTTCCATCTCCAGGTTACGTTTAACTGGATCAGCTGTCCTAATCTTTCTTAGAAGCATTTCCTGACCACTCCCCTTCTTCCCCTAGGCTGAGTGGAGAATGCCTCAGCTTTCCCCTTACTCCCTATGCACACTTCTATCACTCATAGCTCTGAAACCTCCTTGAGGCCAGTGACAGTATCTGAAACGTCTTCTTATCGCCAGTGCTTTTTGTACTGTCCCCCACATAAAAGGTCTCAATCAGTGTTTGTTATATGATAGATTAAAATATAAGCACAGTAATTTATTTAAAAAGTTCATTTTGCGGGGCTGGCCTGGTGGCATAGTGGTTCCCACACTCTGCTTCAGCGTCCCGGGGTTCACGAGTTCAGACCCTGGGCATGGACCTATGCATCACTCATCAAGCCATGCGGTGGCAGCATCCCACATACAAAGTAGAGGAAGACTGGCACAGATGTTAGCTCAGGGACCACACTCCTCAAGCAAAAAGAGGAAGATTGGCAACAGATGTTAGCTCAGAGCCAATTTTCCTCACCAAAAAAAAAAAAAAAAGTTCATTTTGGAAAAAAATTCAAAAGTGATACACTAAACTCTCCCACATCCCTGGAATTTGTGCCCCAGAAGAAGGGAGGGAAGAATTATTTAAAGGAGTCATCTGCAGTTAAATAAAAATAATGAATAGTTTTCCTAGAAATAAATTTAACTCCATATCTTTTTTTTTTTTTTTTTTTTGGTGAGGAAGATTGGCCCTGAGCTAACTCTGTGCCCATCCTCTTTTTTTTTATGTGGGATGCCACCACAGCATGGCTTGATGAGCAGTGTGCAGGTCTACAGCCGGGATCTGAACCCATGAACCCTGGACCACAGAAGCAGAGCACGTGAACTTGAACCACCAGACCACCAAGCCGGCCCCCATATCTACTTTTTTAAAAAGTCAAATGTGTATTCTATGAAATGTAGCAAATACATAATACTTGAATAAGGCATTTCTTCTAAAAAAATTTACACGAGAAATTAAATGTGTATGTTAAAAAATTTAACATTAATAGAATGAAACTGTTTCCTTTCAGAAACATTACCAAGAACACTATTTCCAACCAAACTCCTTCGTTGCTACTATTTTTTTTTTATTTAACAAAAGTATTAATACTTGTTTACCACTTAAGTATAGAGAAAGCTTCGATTCAGCCTTCTTTTCATTCAGATACATTGTATATAATATGTGTTCGAAAAACTACTAGGGAATTAGATTTATTTTAGTCATAAATGATAAGAATTTCCCACAAGTGCATCAGTATGGGGGGTATATGTGGAAATTTCCCTTCTGTTATTTATAAGTGATATTAGGTTGAAATATGTGACTGCTTTTTGAGAGCACAGTTCTAAATCTAAATTTTTCTGCCTTTTTCTACCAATCAGTTATCAAAAAGAAGCGTAGCAGAACCAAGGTAAATTTAATATTGTTAAACAGCAGTGTTCAAAATAAATTTTAATATATATTATATATATATACACACACACACAATATAGCATTAACATAATTATTTTATATGAAAATATTTAGAAGCACAGTGATAATTTTATGAAAGTATAAAATATTTTAATGAAAATATAAGTTAAAGTCATAAATATTTATATTTTTAAGGATATGTATGTTGCAAATTTAAGGTAAATCAACACAGGATAAAATAAACACAAAAGGTTACATACAAACCCTATATAGTTTATTTCTGGTGAAACATATAAACACTTCTACTATAATACAAAATACATTAATTCCTCTACCAACACTAGAGAAGATTTGTCACCTAAATATATTACTCTCTTTTAGGGGGAAAAAATGCTTCACATTTTCATAAAATACACATAGACTGCAATAAAGTGCTTTTTCTTACAGGATATAGATCCTGAGAAAATCAAATATAAAAAAAGAATATCATTTCTTGTTCTGCCATCATATCCTTTTAATTTCGTTCCTACAGTCATAAGCTAAATTACTTAGGTATTAGCCTACAATGACCGAAAGCTATTTCTTCAAGGAAACTGCTGCCTGTTTAGTCTCTTGGTCTAGCATACTGGTAAGATGAGAACTCCACAAACAGTAATACTTGAATTACAAGATGGTTGATACCAGAGGCCCTTCCTGTGCCGAAACATTATTTTTACTAGTCTAAATACTATGTGGTTTTCCACTGCACACCCAAGTTTGACTGAAGTGAACATTTAATACAATCAGTAAAAAGCCCCTCTCTCCTCTTGCAGCAATAGTAGATAATACAGGGTCTTTAGTCAACAGCAGCATCTATATCACACAAATGATTATTTTTTGGTTCATAAAGATAAAATAGCCTTACCTTTGATAGGAGAAATCCTAATACATATGAGACCTTAAAACAGTAAGAGGGGGTTAAAAAAAAACCTAATGCATTTGAATTAAAGAAAATAACTAATAGGTAGTATTTGGTAAATATGAATAATGTTATTTAAAGACTGCCTTCTATTATCTACTTTGCTGAAATACTTAAATATTTAGGTACATGATTTAAATGTGTATAAAAGACTTGGGCATTTTTATTCTAGATGCTATTCATCATTCAGCACACAATTCAAACTGTCCTGATGGATCTGACACACTCCCACTAAGGTTAAGTTACACCAAAACCTATAGTACTAAACCCTCAGAGATATTGCTTTCAGTGCTAAGGAATAATTTGTCTGTTGTGTTACAAGAATGCTCAATGGTTATGATATCTGAAATATTAAGATATCTGCAATATTAGGATAAAAATTAAGATAGCAAAATTTATTTTAAAATTAGGACTATGATTTAGAAATAAAGTAGAAATTACTATTCATTTAAATTATAAGAAAGAAAGATACAAAATTATTGTAAGATAATGATGAAAAAGAGTTCTTGCCTAAGATCTCCAACTTATTATTTGGCTATGGTTGTTTCCAAATTGAAATAGCATCACTAGTATTGCTGTCTTCGAGCATTTTGTTTCTGGAAAAAAGCCTTTCCAAATTCATAGGTACTGATCATAACAGCACAAGCAGGAGCAATTTTAATTAAACGGGGAATTAAGCCTGAAAAAGAAAAAAAATCAGAACAAATTTTACCTTATTTATTTATTTTTTGTGAGGAAGATTAGCCCTGAGCCAACATTTGCTGCCAATCCTCCTCTTTTTGCTGAGGAAGATTGGTCCTGGGCTAACATCCATGCCCATCTTCCTCCACTTTATATGCGGGACACCTGCCACAGCATGGCTTGATAAGCAGCGTGTAGACCCGTGCCTGGGATCTGAACCCATGAACTCCAGGCCGTGAAAGTGGAGCGTGCGAACCCAACCACCACGCCACCGGGCCAGCCCCTACCTTATTTTTAAAAATGTAATTTACTTGGTTTCATTCTGATAATGATCAAATTAAATGAAATGATATATCAAATAGTGTACCAGAAACTGGTGTCAAAGAACAAGCCAAACTGCTCACTCCCAACCTCCTCACTTTAATTCCATGTTAATTTACATAGAAATTTTATCGATAGTAAATCTATTATTATTTAACATTTTTTAACTTACAGCAAAGATGTTTAGGAGGAAATAGTAAATGTGGAATGTTTTCAATAATTTCCTGCTGAAAGTTAATTTAGGAAGGTGACAGATTTAAAAGTAAAAGTAATCCTTTTATTCAATGATTTGGTAAAGCAAATATTTTTACCTGTAAATAATCCAGAAAATCCACTCTTAGCAACAATCTTCTTCATTATAGCCCAGGTTGACATATGCAAAGGCACAGAAACTAAATGTTAAAATAAAGAAATTATATTATAAATTACCACTTCATAATTTCAAATACACATAAAATAGTGTTTGTGGCCTTTGGAGGTATATCATTTTATTATAAGAACAGATCTGTTTACCTAAAGAGCTATTTTAAATCTGATTTTTAATAGTTGGAATAATTAAAAAGAAAAATTAGAAAAAAGGTATTAGTTTAAAGGGATATAGGACTCGATACTTCTCCTGAATTGATGGCGTTTGTTAAGGTTGGTGGTAGGTATCCTTCATACTTTTTTCCTACATCTTAAAAATCTTTCATTATGAAATTTCAAAAAGATGTATAGAAATCTTCATGAGATTCCCAAAGCCATAGAGAAGACTTGATAACCATTTTTCATTAAATTTTTATTGCACACATTAAAAAAAATGTTTTTTCTAAATAGAGGGGGTTCTGAGGAAAATAGCCCATTCTTCCTAGTGAAGTCCTGCTTTATTAAAACCTTTCTAAATAGATGTGCCCGTCTTGAAATAAATATCAGTCCTGTCTCCTCCAAAGGGCAGATTTATCCTTTAACTAACAGTGACATCTCACTTATTTGCAACCACTCAAATATCTGAAATGTAGTAAAAAACTGATTTATATTTTTTAAAAAAAACAGCAAAATAGATGGCACTGAAGTTCAAACAAAAAGCTTATGAATGAGCTGTTCATACACAAAGTTCGCTTACCTTCATTGTACACAGTGATTCTAGGCAGCTGGTTTAGCCCACAGAGTACTAGATGCAATAAGTAAAAAAAGGCTGCTAAGAAGCAGGCATCCTTAGCAGTGCACATGTGAATGCTGTGACAGCTGACATGCTGAAGATTTCAAAGTCTAGGTTTGAGACCATCTGCATGATGGGCAAACACTCCTATACAAGCTCTGAGCTAGTATACTCTCACTAGCTTCTGAGAGGTACATTATAAATCTCTACAATAATCAGTGTGAACATTGATGACAACTCTGAGCCATTAAGATTAAGGTATTATTAAGCATGCCTAGCAAAAAAGGGAAAGATTGGAGAAAGATATCTTTCAAAAATAGCTTTTTAGAATTTTGCTACTTAATGGAGTGGGGCTCATTATCTCAAATTTCACTTATATAAAATATCAGATTCTCTGACTATGAAGATAAGTGAGGCATTGTGATTTAAGAAGCTGTACTAAATATAATAACTATAGCAACCCAACACAAAGGACATTTATTTTAAAACCGAGAACAAAGTATTTATGAATGAAATTTAACTTTCTAAAGAAAGTTAATGACAAAACTTTATACTACAAGTTGGCAACTTGTACTTCATGTTTAAATTACTTTATTTAAATTTTGGAACCTGGTGAAGGAAAGGAGGCCAAGTAGCCAGGTATTTCTAATCTTGTAGAACTCAAGCCCACAACTGGTCTCTATTTTAATAGCAAGGTGAAGTTACTGTAAAAGAATCGACAGTTATTAACTGAAGGTAAGCCACGGCAGTGCTCTAATGGAACCCTGAAAGTATCTCCTGCCTACCGTTCCAACATTAAAGAGCTATTCCTACATGTCATAAGCAACTTCTTACATTGTAAGGAAACAATGTTTGATTATTAAATATTTCAAGCATAGACAACAATAAAATGAATACTCATTTACTGACGATCCAAATTTATCAAATCCTAACAACTATCAGATACAATTGAAGTCCCCTGTATATTCTTTCCCAATCTCATTCTTCCTCTCTTCTCAGAGGTAACCACTCTCTTGTCTCTCTTTTTTTCTTTATCTTTCTCATGTATGTGTCTGGACTTTTACTACATCTGAACATATCTATAAACAACATATGCTCTTTCTTTTCATGCTCTTAAACTTAACATAAATGATATCACACTGTACATTTACTCTTGTAGTGTGATTTTAGGATTATCTATGTTGGTAAGTGTAGTTATATTTCGTTTATTTTAATTGCTGCATGGTATTGCACTATCTGGATTATCACAATGTACCCATTTCCCTGCCAAGGGACATTTGGGTGGTTTCTAACCTTTTGGGATTAAGAATCCTTCAGTGAATATCTTTGTACACATACAAACGTTTCTCCAGAGCACATATCTAGGAGTGAATTGCTTGTTCAAAGAGCATTTCTTGATACTGCCAGATTATTTTCCAATGCAGCTGTTGCAAATTTATACTCCCACCTGCACAGCATGAAAATTCCCACAGCTCCACATCCTCCCCAATGAAATCCAGTGCGTATAAATGTCCTCTCACTGCTGTTCTAGTTGGCATTTTCCTCATTACTAAGATTGAGCATTTTTTCACAAATTTATCTGCCACATATAACCATTTTTTAATTTCTATTGCCCTGTATAACCATTTTTTTAAATGATTTTTAAATTTCTGTTGAAGTATTTTAAATAAATATGTTTAGAGAAAAAGAAGTTTAACCTGTGGAAAACAGGTGAATCTGAGCCAGGTTTAAAAAGTTGGAACCAGAGATTAAATTTTTAAAAATTAAATATAAATGATACACTCATAAATGAGGTAAGTTACCTCTGTTATAGGATCGGATACTTACTATATCCTAATAAGTAAGTAAGTATAGCTTCTCCTCCACTAGAGTATGAGCTCTTTAAGGACTTGGATCTGCTCCCTTTGTCTGTATATACCAGCACGGTGCCCAAGACAGAGTAGGCACTCAGTCAGCAGTCAGCTAACGGACGAAGGATGGAGAAGTTGTCTAAGAACGCTGAGGTGAGAGATCATATTCTTGCACGGAACTGACCATCATTCTATATGTAACACTTCATAGTTTCCTTTTTGCTTAGAGATAAGGGATGTGGTATAGCTGAGCTATGGAATGGAGGAAGCCACTTCTAAATGGAGCTGATTTACTTCTTTGGTGGGGATAAATAATATATAATAAAAATAATGACAAAAAATATGGGCTGTTTATCACTCAAATCAGAAGTGCAGTTTGCAATGGAAACTTATCTTCCTAAATGTAACTAGTTCATAGCTGAAGCAGAGTAACAGGTAAAAGTGACCAATGAAAATCATGGGAAATTAAGACCTAAGGCTTATTTAAGGTTTCTCCTTTTGGTTTAAATGTAGAAACATTAATTAGAAAAAAAGCAGTGATAGGTAAGGGTTAAATCTAATGAATGAAGATGCTCCCTGGTGCCAGTCTCAATGAGGACGTACAATCACAATCACCTAGGGAACATTTTCAAAATACACAAGCTTGGGCCCCACCTTAGATCTATTAAATCAGAGTCCACTGGGGGTGGTGCCCAGCTTTAGATGTAGTGAAAACACACCCGAGGTGACTCCAAAGATTATTTACCTAGGTAAGTGGCTCTCCAACTTCAGTGTGCATCAGTGTGTAGAGATTCCCATCTTCTCCCTCTTTGTTACCATGACCATGATTATTATGATCACCACTACCACTTCACTGCCACAGCCATCAATCATTTAAGATAAATTACACCAAAGAGATATTCCTACTATATTAAATAGTTCACTTAACAGAGAAAACAGGAGTTCTAATGAGTTGGAAGGAAGAACGAAACAAAATAATTTTGAACTGTCAAGAGAGAACAGATAGGGCTTAGGCAGCTAGAAGGCTCACACCTAAAAGAGGGAAGTGGGAAAACCCTCATAATAAACTTTGATTGCCTCCCAGGTTTTAGTTAGCTTCCAATATTAGAGGAGACTAGGACTTTGGTAAGTCAAGGACAAAGTTGTCACTAATATTCATCAGATTCATTTTCAGAGGTCTGTAATCAATGATTCTTTCAACGGTATAATATTTATTTAACTTTGTATGCACAATGTTATTCTAGTGGGTTAGAACAATTTAATTACATTATAATAGGCTTATTACAAGGCTTACATGACACAATTTTGTAATGGATAATTTCAGTGGGTTTGTTACATTTTCTGTAGATAATAAATAATGACAGAAGGAATCTAGTGGAAGCAACTAAGAGTACACTTTTGTTCTAAAGGAAATTACAGGTTATAAAGAAGTAAAAGAGATGGGATAACAGGTACAAAAAACACATCAAAAGAAGGGAAGCTAAAAAATAAACAGGAAAAAAGAACAAATAAAATGTATACACATACTAATGAAACTAAACACATCAAGAGAAAAAGGTTTCCCAGTAGTTTCCTATCCTTCACCCTGATCTCTCTAGATCTATTTGAAAGAATATTTACATAATTTAACTTTCTATATAGCAGGTATGAGATTTAACTGATAGCAGGCAAAATACATAGATGTTAAGATTTCTTAATTTTTTTGTTTGGGTTTAGAGTACTGTTTTCTGGGTATTCCATTCAAAATGTATATTAGTTTCAGTTAAATAAAGAGTAAGGCAGCAGAGGGAAAAAAAAGACTTGTTTTCTCAATTTTAGATATTCTTCACTTAGTATCTGGAAAGAAAAACAAAAATTTCCAAGGCATCTTGAAAATATTTTAAATTAATTAAACTTACTTTTATGACTTTCGTGTATCCAAAGTTGTGTCTGCTTTTGTGTTTTTACCACATCAAATGGCAAAGTTGCAATAGCTGCAAACTAACAAAAAATAAAACTAATTTAAATCTACTTTAAAATTTTTTCCTAAAATCTTTTTACATTCATCTAGTTAGCACATTACTTGATAAGGATAATAATGGAAATCATAACCAAACTGAAACTCCAAATGAAACCAGATATATTTAAAGAGAAGCTTTTATGCAAGAAAATAGATACATGTCTTATATGTTTCTCCCAAAATTCAAGAGTAAGTAAATAGTGTTCAGAAAAGTTCCCCTACTGTCCTGAGCTTACACAACTACTAGGGGCAGAGGCCGAATTCCAAACAGACCTCTCTGACTCCAAAACCAGTATTCACAGTTTCTGATGCTTCTGTGTATTCTATTATTCCCTTACTACACATAAAGGTATAATACATATTTTAAAGCAGAAATTCTCAAGTATCTAGTAAGCATTTAAAATTTTCCAACAAGTGTTTTAAAAATAAATAGAATAAAAAATTAAATTTAAATAAAGAAAATGGAATTTGAACTTTTAGTTCTATATATCTTTTCTTTGTGGGTGTCAACAAATTTATCAAATATAGTTACAATAGTTCACAAATCACATTTTTAAAAACTTATCTCAAAATGAATCAACTTGATCATTTTCATAATGCCCTAATTAAGGAAGGTTTTTTAAAAGAATAATTAAATTCCCTTAAGAATGTCTTATAATATTTGATATAATCACCATGCAAAGTAAAACCTGGTCTCTATTTTTTGCTTCCCAACTCACAACTGGCCAATATGCTCATAAAATGCCCCTCAAAAATCACTTATATTTTATTTTACCCTGACAACGTTGATGTAAGTTCTTAAAATGAAATCAGTTTCAAAGATCTCAGGTAAGATAAAATCAATTATTGTTTCTCCCATCTCCACAATCTAAGATATAGTAGCAAAAGGTAGCAACAATGTTATATAAGCCCCCTTTTTTTTTTTGTGAGGAAGATCAGCCCTGAGCTAACATCCATGCTAATCCTCCTCTTTTTGCTGAGGAAGACCAGCTCTGAGCTAACATCTATTGCCAATCCTCCTCCTTTTTTTCCCCAAAGCCCCAGTAGATAGTTGTATGCCATAGTTGCACATCCTTCTAGTTGCTGTATGTGGGACGCCGCCTCAGCATGGCCAGAGAAGCGGTGCGTCGGTGCGCGCCTGGGATCCGAACCCGGGCCGCCAGTAGCGGAGCGCGCGCACTTAACCACTAAGCCACGGGGCCGGCCCCAATATATAAGTCTCTATGACACTTCTAAAAGGATATGGTTTAGGCTATTCTGTTTTCTGACAGAAAGTCTAGACACTGTCACACTGATGTGCTTTTTCTACTGCAGAGGCAAATTTTTATTTGAAAACAGCCAAAAGGCAGCAATATTTTCTAGATCATCAAAAAAAATTTTTTAATAGATCTTCTATATTAAGCAGAAGTAGTAAAATAGAGAACTTTCCTTCATATTACTGGAAAGCTGGTACAACATCCTGAAGCCATCATTCAACTTTTTTTTTTTGACAGTAAGCATTTATTTGTAAGTCAAGTATGGAATTGGTTCCTGTAATTCCAACTATTATTAATTTCTAAATAAAAATAGTACTTGTTTTTCTTCATCCATGCTGGATTAAGATATAAATTAAATACAATTAAGTTACATTTAATCCCCTCACACATGAGAGGGATAATAAAAAGATTTTACTGGTATTGTAACTACTTAAATTGCTAAAAAAGTAATTGCACTTTTGCCTCAATAAGCTTATAACCTACTAGGCTTAATCTGGCAAATCTCAGACCTAGGAATATTCACATCTAAGTTTAGAACTCAATCACAGTGGCTTTCTTAGCCTAGGTTTTCTAATACAAATATTCCAATATTTGTGATCTCCATCACTTCACTGTACTTTTCATTTGGTTCCTGTATGTTAGCACCTCACAAATTCATTTTATAAGTAAGTGGGCATGAGAAAACTCGCTGTGGCCAAGATTACGGTGACATGAATCCGCATAAAGGAAGTCCACTACACAACTTTTCATTATGCGGAGAGGTGGGAAAAGGTGAACTCTCTACTACTCAAAAATAGTCATTTAAGATTCCTCTCTTCTAATTATAATTCATGTTAAAAATCTTTTAAGAAGTACTTGGCTAGGGGCCGGGCCCATGGTGTAGCGGGTAAGAGTGCACGCTTCGCTGCTGGCAGCCCAGGGTTCAGATCCCGGGTGCACACTGATGCATCGCTTGTCGGGCCATGCTGTGGCGGTGTCCCATATAAAGCGGAAGAAGATGGGCACGGATGTTAGCCCAGGGCCAGTCTTCCTTGGCAAAGAGAGGGGGATTGGCATGGATGTTAGCTCAGGGCTGATCTTCCTCACAAAAAAAAAAAAAAAGAAAAAAAAGTACTTGGCCAAAATGTTCCCAAAGAAACAGGAATCAGCAGCAGAGGATGAAATTACTTCTATTCAATCCAATTATACACGTGAGATGACACTCAAATGAAATATTACCTAACCAGATCTACTGGCATTTAATGAATTGTGAAATACTTTGTAAATAAGAAAGCACTATTTAAACTCCTATTATCATAACTGTAACGATCTAACAAATCCAAAAGTTTTTCAGAAAAATATAATAATGTATTTGTAGTATAATAAAAACATAGACATAAAGTGCATTTTAAAATATTTTAATGGCAAATAATTTATTTCCTCAAAATAGGATAGTAAATATTTAGAAAATTTTTAAAGCAGTGCAGCCCAAAAGTCCTATCTCAATAGACATGAAATGCTATATAATATTTTGTTCTGTTTTAATAAGACAATCATCGTTATTCTAGAATATTAACAACAAAAGAATAAACTTACAGAACCAGACAATGCCCCTGAAGTGAAGTTGATCATAAATGATGGTTCATATAAACCAGATTTTGCACAAAACCATTTCTTTAAAACTTCATAGTTATACCAGTACATTGCTATAAAAACAGAGAATGAAATGAACACATATTTAGAAATGAAACGTGGACTTTAAAGAAAATATTTGTGAGGTTATACATTAAAGGAAAAGAGAAATTCTAACCTTGGCATACTTTGCTTTCTGCTTAGACAACATACTTGATTGTTAGTGACATCCAGTCAATTCTCACTCCTAATGACCCAGTGTACAGCAGAGCAGAATCCTACCCAGTCTTTTTGAGCCATCCTCTCACCTTCTGGTGCTATATCAGATGATGCTCTGCTGCTATGCATAGGGTTTTCATGGTCAATTTTTTCGGAAGTGAGTGGCCAGGTTCTTCTTTCTAGTCTGTCTTAATCTAGAAGCTCCACTGAAACCTGTCCAACATGGGTGACCCTGCTGGTATTTGAAATACTGGTGGCATAGCTTTCAGCATCACAGCAACACACAGCCACTACAGTCTGACTGGGAAACAAACCTGGGCTGTAGCAGTCGGAGCACTGAATCTTAACCACTAGACCCACCAGGGCTGGTTAAGACACATACTAAGTGCGATTTTTTTTGTGTGTGAGGAAGATCAGCCCTGAGCTAACATCCATGCCAATCCTCCTCTTTTTGCTGAGGAAGACCAGCCCTGAGCTAACATTTATTGCCAATCCTCCTCCTTTTTTTCCCTTTTTCTCCCCAAAGCCCCAGTAGATAGTTGCATGTCACAGTTGCACATCCTTCCAGTTGCTGTACGTGGGATGCACCCTCAGCATGGCTGGACAAGCGGTGCGTCGGTGCACGCCCGGGATCCAAACCCAGGCCACCAGTAGCAGAGCGCACACACTTAACCGCTAAGCCACGGGGCCAGCCCCAAGACACATACTAAGTGAGATTTAAAAAAAAAAGGAGCCAAATTCTCAATAATATTCTAGCAGTCTTATGAACAATCAAACAAAACTACATATCAGTAAAGTAGGACTTTAATTCCAAATTCTGACAAGGACAGTTAAGGAAAAGTACAGGCCAATCTCATTCATGAACACAGGTGTAAAAATCGTAAAAAAATAAAATAATAATAAGACACTGAAGATAGAAGTATTTCATAAGAGATTATACACTATGACTAAATCAAGTTATCCAAGGAATGCAAAGGTAGTAAATAATAAATGCTTTACACGCCATACACCACATTAAGAGAACCATGAAATCACCTAAAAATGATGGAAAAGCATTTCATAAAATTCAACACACTTTCATTTAAAGCAAACAAAGAAATTTCTTGGAAACAGGGATAAAAGGGAACTTCTTTAATTTGATAAACGACATGCATCAAGAACCTATAGCAAACATAATTATTAATGGTGAAACAACAGAACTATTTCCTCTAGAATGAGGAAAATGATAAGGATGCAACATTATCACTGCTACTATTCCAAACTGTACTAGGCAGCACAGTAAGACAGAAAAAGATAAAAGCTACAACGATTAAAAATGAAGAAACAGGGGCCAGTCTCGTGGCCAAGTGGTTAAAATTTCGCGCGATCTGCTTGGGCGGCTCAGGTTCCTGGGTTTGGATCCTGGGTGCAGACCTACTCCACTCATCAGCCATGCTGTGGAGGCACCCCACAAACAAAACAGAGGAAGACTGGCATGGATGTTAGCTCAGGGCTAGTCTTCCTTAAGCAAAAAAAAAAAAAAAAAAAAAAGAGGAAGACTGCCAGTGGATGTTAGCTCAGGGCAAATCTTCCTCACCAAAAAAAAACTAGTCATAATTTACATATTATTGTCTACATAGAAAACCCAAAAGAGAGGCAAATTAGAATTTTTACTGGAGTTTTAAAATAGCTGAATATAAGCTAACACACTAAAATCAATTGCAACACTGCACCAGCTGCAAAGATTTAGAAAACACGTTTTTTAAATAGAGCTTTTAAAATAGCTACCAAAAGTTGGGGGTGAGTGGGTGTACCTATAAATAAATCTAAAGAAAAAAGGTTGTATATAACCTTTATGAAGAAAATTTTAAACCTCTACTAAAACAGTTTAAAGAAGAGTTATATAACAAAGAGATACGATATTCCTACAGGAAAAAAATAAGGTAACATCAAGATTTTTTATAATGCACTAATAATTTAGACCATACTGTGGTATTAGCACAGGGTTAGACAAATTGGCCAGTGAAATAGATCCATGTATATACGAAAATTTGATGTGACAGAGGTGACACTGCAAAACCCTGAGCAAGTATGGTTATTCAATTAGTGATGCTGGTACAACTATCTATCCATATGAGAGGAAAATAAAATTGAATACTTATTTCAGTCCATAACCCCAAATCAATTATGGGTAAATGAATGGCCAAGGAAACAGTGCCCAACCTCACTAATAATCAGGGAAATCTAAGCTAAAGTGAGATGCCACTTTAATTTACTAGATAAACAAAAATTAAGAACTTTGACAATAAAAGTGCTAGTGAGGGTGTGAAATGAAGCAACAGGAAGCTGGCAGGTGTGTAGATCTGCACAATCACTTTAGAAAAGAGTTTGATATTACTTAATAAAATTTAAAATGTATATATTTATATGAACTAGCAAATCTAATACTGGAAAAATTCTTGTACATATACACCCAGAGACTTAAAAAAAGTCCACAAGCAGCACTGTTTACTTGTTTACTCAGAAATAAACAAGAGTAAAAATGAAGGAAACAGTTACACATAAAAAGAAGAATGAATCTTAAGTGATTACCGCTGGGGAGGTGACTGGAGATGGATATATGTGGTTTCACAACTTAAAAATTGCAATGTTCTAGCTCATATTTTAAAGTGGTGCCTTCACAGGTGCTCATTTTATTAGTCTACTTCATAATTTATATCTATGTTACTTTTTATGTATCAAATATCATATAATAACAAAATGAAGAAACATAATTGGCCTAGGAATCTATGTTTCTAAAAAGCATAAGTGAACAGAAAAGGTTGAAGAAAAATACTAATGGAAAGGGAAAGATGCATAGAGATGTGAATAAGAAAGCCCAAGAAAAGAATTAACTCAAAGGGAAAAAGAAAAAAAGAGGAACATTAATACAGGGTTCTCAATAATTACTTCTTTCAGGTCTTAAATGGAAACTCTTGTGATCCACAAGAGAAATATTACTGAAGTATGCACATTTTACAAGTTACTTGTTAGTTGTGTACTTCTTTTTCAGGATTTTCTCCCTTTTCATAATTCATTGATTAGCACAATCTCCTATCTGATTTATAACAGCCTTTTACAGAACACTCACTTAATGGGAGAGAATTTTATCTTTAATAACTGAAAAACGTAGGAGTCAATATAATTCACAGGTGGTTTTAAATGTATTTTATGATATTTTGATTTACAGTAGTTTACTTACCCTACTATTATGACCTGTTTAGAATAATGTTAAAGGCAATTTGCATTATCTAAATATGAATACAATATTTACCAATTAATGTTTAAAAAGAAAGTAAACACAAGGAGAAAAGAACATCAGGCTTGAATTAGGAACTACTCATTCAATAAAGGCTCATGAAGATCTGAGAGCCCAACACTGAACTAGGAGTTTGTGGTCACTAAAGAAGATAACTTACATTTAGCTTTGAAAGGTTTAAAATTTAGTTGATTTAAAAGTAATATATAAATAATACAAAGTTACCTAAAATTTAGCAGATAACTAATAAGGTAAATCTTACCTGAGAATGGTACATCTCTAAGAACAGTAGGAGCCCAGCCCCTCCAAAGGGAAATCCAACCATCTTCAGACACTTTCTTGCTGACAAATTGATGCAGTTCCTCGTAAGAAAACTTCTTAGATTGCATCTTGGTTCTAATCAATTCTAATGGACTTATCACAGTTACTGCACCAACTAAAACAAACAGGCAAATATAAGATAACAAAAACAAAGCCATGTACCATGCAAACACGTATGCAAAAATTAATATTTCATGCATTTTATATTTTAAACTTTTATTCTGAAATGTCTGCAAACCTTAAAATCAAATATCTACTGATGCCAACATATTGCTGCAGATTTTTTTTCCTGGTAAAGGTATTTCTTAAAAGTCTGTTTTCGGGCTGGCCCGGTGGCAGAGTGGTTAAGTTCGTGCACTATGCTTCGGCAGCCTGGGGTTCACGGGTTCGGATCCCAGGCACGGACCTATGCACCACTTATCAAGCCATGCTGTGGTGGGATCCCATATAAAGTAGAGTAGGATGGGCATGGATGTTAGCCCAGGGCCAGTCTTCCTCAGCAAAAAGAGGAGGATTGGCACGAATGTTAGCTCAAGGCCGATCTTCCTCACAAACAAACAAACAAACAAACAAAGTCTGCTTTCATATACCTCACTTTTTCTGGTTTCAAGTCTTTTAAGAGCAGTTCCAGAAATACTACACATCAACTAGGTCTATTATAAAACCTCACTCTCACTGCACAGAGAAAAATGTCCTTCTGCACAGAGGCAAATTAAACTCTAAATCCCAAAGTCTAAAAGAAAAATGATGCAGGACCTTGGCATCAATTTGACATCAGTCTGATGTCATCCTAAAATCTAAAGCCTAAAACCTCGAATCTAAAATCTCTGTCTAAGATTCAGCTGATCCCATCTCATTCTGATGGCAATCATCCTACCATATGGCTTCTCAAGCACAGATATTAACAAATTAGTACAAACTACAATGCAAAATACTTCTTACACCAATACTCTGTATTTTATACAAATTCTCTGTGAATGTCAATTTTAAAAGAAGCTCTAAACAGAAATCAAAATGAAAATATAGCAAATTGACTACTTACCTCTGGCCACAATTCCAGCAACAATTGGTATGCAGCTTTTATTTTCTCCTAACTTAGATTTCAGAAGAGCAGTTAATTGATCGTAGCAGGTAAAATAAATAACTGTGGCAGGAACTGCCATCACTCTGTTAGAAACATACAAACAAAACAATTTGTACAAAACTATCAAACGGCTTAAACATATTCTTAAAGTACTATTAAATATAAGCTAAAATACATATTTTGTATAAGTTGAAAACCACAACAAATCAGCCCATGAGATCAAGTTTTCTTTTATTTTAAAAATTATTAGTGTTTAACTTAGTAGGCAACAAAAAGATGTAAAGTAGATATCTGCCCTCCAGAAGTTTACATTCTAGTTGTAAAGATAAGTTACAGAGCACTCAGTCAGGTCATAAATAGGATAAGACAAATGAGGACACATCTCTATCTCTTTGACTTGTTCTGTTTCTGGTCTCCCAAATCTTCCTTCCCAATTACATTTACCATAACATGAAAATCACTTAAAAAGTACAAAATCAACTGTAAAATACTTCTGAACTATGGGCCATATAGCATACTGCTTATAACTGGAAATAAATTACAATTAACATCACTGAAATTATATATAATAGTTTTGAGGAAATTTCAGTGACATATTTTTTCAAATGAAAATATCCAAAGGAAATTATTAAACACAAAGTTGCAGGCACTGTCATGTCATAAATATTAATGCAACAAGAAACCAGTCTATGTTTATGGTCTAATAAAGGACATTCACAGACCATACTTTGGAATGCCTAATGTTCTCTAGTGAAGTTTGACGATGAGAATTTAGGAATAGGATTGAGTGCTAGTTTTGAATCTTCCACTAACTTTATAACTTTAAAATATATGCCTCAAAGTTGACTAATTTGCTCCATAAAAAGATAAATTAGAAACGGGCCGGCCCTGTGGCTTGGTGGTTAAGTGCGCGCGCTGCAATGCTGGTGGCCCGGGTTCGGATCCCGGGTGCGCATCGAGGCACCACTTCTCCGTCCATCCTGAGGCCGAGTCCCACATACAGCAACTAGAAG